TTATTTGATTAGCGAACCTGCATCTGAAGACAGACAAAGAAGTTCACCATTTAGTCATTAATAAGCTTCAAACATACTCCAGTACCAGATAAAAAAACATGATGTGTGTGAAAACCTTAAAAGCAGTGCACTACTTAGAACAAGTTTGACATATGAACTGAAATCATTACAACTCACAAGTGCAAAGTCTCTCAGACACCATGTGTTACATTTCCTCTCAGCAGTAGTGAAGTTTATAACCAAATTCTATATCAATTATGCAAGAGAGTCCTAACCAATTTAATACAATCATAAAAAATATTGAATTTGCATAGATAAATAACAAAAAACATCACTAAACAGAAAAAAGCAGAACAGAGACAAAATACAGCGAAAAACATTACAAAGCAGAAAAAGTTTGCACAACGAGACTCTGGAAGCTCCTTTGTTACAATAATACCAAAATATCAAGTTAGTGCACTCGTATTTATCTTTATTTTGATACTTATGGGCCTCTTGAATTCTCTTTTTCCCTACTTCTTTCTAGAATTTATGGAATATGGCATTTATTATTTGTTAGAACAGACAAAGAAATTACAAAATATGTTTTTCTCTTTTTTGATGAATAGAGAAAAAAACAGAGCAAACTAAAGAAAATAATAGAGAAGAAGAGAAAAAAGAGCAACCCAGCACCAGCAGTGCAGTTGAGTAGCAGCAGAGAAAACAGAGATAAGAAGAAGAGGAGAAGATAGAAAAAAAGATGAGAAGAGAAGAACTTACCTTGAAGAGAAGTCACAGGCTCCTAGCAGTTGAACTCTGATCTTAGGCATATTTATATCCCAATTTGCCACTAATTGACCACGTTAGGTGTTGAATTAGAATTATCTTGAGACTATTAACTTTGTTTTGTCTAACTTGCTATGATTGTGCACTAAGACACGTGATTAGGTGGTGCAGGAATTTTCAAGGTGAATAAAGTCGATATGAGCGAAGGAGGGGTGAGAAAGCACGCAGATGGATTGAGGAGCACTGCAGTGTGGCGCGAGGCGCCAAGGCCACAATTACTGGTGACCTCCTGGGGCGCACTGTCTGGCGCGAGGCACCAAGGCCACAACTATTGGCGACCTCCTGAGGCGCACTGTCTAGCGCGAGGCACCAAGGCAAAAACTACTGAGGCGCGTCACAGGCGCACTGACTGGCACAGCGCACCAGAGCAAGAACTACTGAAGGCTGAAGCACTGAGTGGCGCAGCGCTCCAGCCTTTGCCTGACGTGCCCAGCGAAAGTTTATTTAATTAGGACTCCTTATTAGACCGGAATTGGAAATACTTTTCCTTAACTCTATAAATAGGACCTTATGGTTATTTAGTAGGGGTCCGATTTCTTTTTGGTGTGCAAGAGCAAGGATTAACGTTTTGTAATAGGTTTCAATTCTCTAACTCTTTCTTTATTTTGAAAATCGCATGAACAATATTATTTTGCGGTTTTTGAATATTATGAGTGGCTAAACGCCCTTGTTCTGGGGATGTAGCTAAAATGATTGTTGAGTGTCAAAGGTTTTAAATTAATTCAAGGTTATCGCTTACAAGTTACTTCTATGTTCTTGTTTTAGTATTTCATGCTTGATCACTAATGAAATAAATCTCTTGTCTACTCTTAAACTCAGGAGAAGCTAAGGCAGATAGACCAACGAATATAGAAAGCTTGATCTTCCATTAAATTGGGTTGATATGTGTTTAGGAGTGATGCTCGGACGAACACCTAGCTTGGTTACGAAATAAGATGAAATATAAATGCTCGCCAATTAGGACTGCCTATCCCCACTCAACGATGTAGTTAGACAACTAATTGGAGTAGGCGATTAGAGGTCGGGAGACCATGATCATATAATCAACCCTGTAAATCAGTAACTTGATAACCTAAATTAGTTCATCAACTGAGATACGATACATGAAATCCAATGCATGCTACAGCCCTGGAATTGTCTCTTACTTGTTTAAAACATCAATTTGAAGTCGTTCGCTTTAGTTACTTTATTTATTAAATTAGTCGTAGTAGTAATAAACAACATTCACCCTCTTTTAAAGATAGTCTTGTCAAATTGTGGAATTAAGTTAGCAAATATAACTTGATCTTAAGTCTCTTGGGTACGATAACTCGTTTCTAAAAGGAACTATATTACTCACGCGACCACGTAATCTTGCGTGTGCAATTGGGAGCAACAAACTCTAAACAAATGTTTAGGAAGAGAAGTCGCATGAGTATGCTTTTACAAAATTTTAATATAAAACCCGTCGCAACAGTCAAACTCGCTAATACACGCCTTTCGTTCCTTACTCTCTTTTCGCTTCAGTCGTAGAAGCACACACTTTTTCTTCTATGCCTCGCTTCGGGGAAAAAAAGTGATAGAGGTGAGCTCCACCTTGTCCAACATTCCGCCCCATACAACAAAGTTGGTCAAACTCTATAGAATTTGCCTTTAAGTTTTGGTGGCCCCTTCTCTTAATCACACAAAACTTCAAAAGCGAACCTCTATTTCATCCACTTTGCAACAATACGATGTGTGATATCATTCTCGTTTCTTTAGATAATAGACCCAACATACTTGGTACTTCCTCTCTTTTGGATGTCCTGGTATCAAGCCTCACTTTCATGTGAGTCTCATGGTTACGTCAGTGAACTTGCACTAAAAGTATTATGTCTTGATCATGCTCAACCTGAACCCTTTATTTTGTCTCCAAACCTATAGCTTAGCGTTAACTCCTAAGCGAGTCTTGTCAATTAAAATTATGTAATCCACAAATAACATACATCATGGCACCTCACCTTAGTACCATGTCAATTCATCAATCACCAAAGCAAATAAAAACATGCTAAAAGTTGATCACTTGTGCAACCCCATCACAATTGGGAAGTTCTCTGCGTCTCCTCTCTATGTCCTTATCATAATCTTAGTTCTAACATAAATCTCCTTGATCAGACGCCACAGGTAAGCCTCTAACCTCCAAGCATCTCCATAAGACCTCTTTTGGGACTTAGTCGTAAGCATTTTCTAGGTAAATGAACACCAAGTGCAAATCCTCTTCCGCTCTCTATACAGCTCCACCAGTCTCCTTAAAAGATGAATGACTTTTGTAGTCGAGCGTCCTAACATAAATCTATATCGATTCTCAAAAATAAACATACTCCTCCTCACCTTCATCTTTACCACCCTTTCCCAAACTTTCATAATGTAGCTTAGCAGTTTGATACCCCTATAGTTGTTGCGATTAAGAAATGTCACCTTTGTTTTTGTACAAATGGATAATTGTACTCAACATCCGTTCTTTAGCCTTTTTCACGGTCTTAAAAATGATATTAAACAACCTAGTGAATGACTCTCTACATGTCCTTCCCACCGTCTTCCAAATTTCCATCGGAATCTCACCAGGCCCGTTCGCTCTTCCCTATGCATCCTACGAATAGCACCATTAACCTTTTCAACCTTTATACACCTACAATACCCAAAATCATGACACCTCTCGGAATCTACTATATCTCCCACCAGAATGTGCTCTGCTTCATTCAAGAGTATATAGAAGTATGACAATCAACTTCGTCTAATGAGTGTCTCCTAAACTAATACTTCGTCGACCTCGTTCTTGATGCACGTCACTTGGTCCAGGTCACGTGCCCTCCTCTCCATCGCTTTGGCTAGCTTGTACAATTTCTTCCTTGTTTTTCCCCTAATTCCACATACAAGCATTCAAAAGTTGTAGTGATATTCTATATATTATGTAATATGCATGTGTAATACATTTTTTTAAGACAAGGAAAACCCGCAGCCGCAAACCTTTGGGTGCGCGCTGGGTAAAAGCCCTCGCTCCTATGCATGTGTAATACATTAGTAATCTTAAATAGGAAATAAATATTTTTACATCACTAAGCATGATGAGATGATTTTAAATGAAGCAAGATAACGAAGATTCATAGAGTTGCCCCAACTTGCTTGAAGTGAGGCATAAATAGTGGTTGTTATTGAAAACTCCATATGGCTTGGATACACGATATTTTTCCAATGGGGACATAAATGCGCAAGCATGGAAAGATGGAAAAAGCATGACAAAGAAAAATCCATGTGATACCCGAAATTCTGTCAATAGCGACATATAAATGCATAAGCATGGTAAAACTGAAAAAGCATGACATAAAGAAAAATCCATATGGTAGGTACACAAAATTCTGCCAATGGTGAAATATAAATGTGCAAGCATGGTAAGATGGAAAAAATAAGTATGTCGTTGCTGCATCTTAGTAGCAGGGAAACTCTCACTTAAAAAAGGACACATTCATAACCGAGTCGATTAAACAATAAAACGGTTGCAAAGACAATAATAGGATATCTGCATTTCAAGAACAAGGAAATCGATAGTCAGTATCATCTTACCAAAAAATTGTGAATCGAGTTTTCAGGACTAATTTTGAGATAAGGACCTCTTAAATTGACATTAAAACTGCTAAGAAAAACATGAGAAACATTCATGATTTGGCAACTCACTAAGGTGTGCTCAAACAGACTATTGGGAAGTTTTTGGAAATTGATTTTCATTTCATTTCTTTCTGGAAAAGAAGGTTATGAAACAGTAAATTCATTTACGAGAAGAGGGTTAAATTGATAATATTTAGAATTTGGGGGCTAATGTAGAAGTTGGTTCAATTTTGGTTTGAGTAAAAGAAAAACGACAAAAGTTTATTTTTTTGTTTTGTTTTCTTTTGAAAATGTTTGTTTGTTCTTCTAGTAAACAATTTTGTCCTGATAATACAACAAACGTGGTTTGTTCTATTTAAAATCCTTTTTTACTAGGGCAACATTGCCTTAAGATGCTTGAGCTTTTGCAAACCGCACAGTATAGTGGTTTTCGGGTGCACCAGAATATCAGAATCAAGGAGCCAAAGTCTTAAAGAGTATTTCCAAGGAAACAGCCAGCTCTATGTTAATACCTGTATCTTCTTAATTTAATTCACAAGTTCAGGCATACTTACCAAATAAGAAATTTATCCAATTATCAATCACGGAGCCACCTGTATGGACTACAACTCTAACCAGCAGAGTAATAATGAGACCATCTTATATTTAGGCAAAACAGTCGATTTGATTATTGCACTAGTGCAAGGGGAAATGGATGTAAAAAAGCATTATTGGAAAGAAATTGAATGTAGTAGTTCTTTTCTCGATGTGAAAAAGCATTATTCGAAAGAAATTGAAGTTAATGACAAATCCATCATAATTCATCTATTTCCATAAAAGGAGCAGCTGTAGTCTACCAAATTCTTATTTGTCTATATATACTGTGACCCATCACCTCACTCAGACATTTTAGATTTTGAGAGTAAATCGAACTCTAACGGTTAGCAGAAGCAAATTCAACCTGATTTGAACTGAATCATTCATAATCAGATCTTATGGGTAGACAAGGTCCATGTCTCCATTGTGCCATCAAGCGTAAGTTCTGTTCACCGCCTATATCCCATCTTTTATGTTTATCAATAATCTCATGCTTTACAGGATACTTGATTCAGTTATGCTTAAGATTTATGTACCTGATGTTCAGCAAATAAATTATTTTATGAAGACTCACATGCATAAACACTAGATACCCAAATTTACATTAAAATGGTGCATCTGTTAAAAAATAATACATAGAGTACATTAATTTTCTCATCTCTCGAGCCAAATGTAATTAATTTTCAGTACATCTGCATTAGTCTAACAGGAACTGAGGTCATTTAGGATAAATTGTGGATTTGGTACCCAATCCCTACCATCCATACACATTTAGTTCCCAATTATTTAATCTTTTGACAACCATCGTCCTTACTTTCTAGACGATGTACCCCCCAAAACACCACTCTTCACCACTCCCTAGGGTTTTTACATGCACCACAAGCATGAACAACCCCTTAACCCAAACAACAATCTAGGTCTAACCACCACTTTATGGAACATACCTTTAAGCCATGGCAACACATTTTTATCGCGAAGTACCCCGGGATGTGTGCCTTCAATTTACCCACCCTACTCCAATATGATGTGAGACATCATAAGCCTATAATTATGGACCCAAGATACTTGAAGTTTCTTCTCTTGGTCTTGGATAGGATTTGTGAGTCGTTCCTCACTTCCACCTCTTCCTCAAGTGTTACGTCATTGAAGTTACACGCGAAATACTTTGTTTTAGTATTTCTTAACCTGAAAACTTAAGTCTCCAAGAGAGATCCTAGGTTGAGAGTTGGGTCTTGAAACATAGGGACATTGACAAGGAAATTGATACAGTTAGTGAAGATTCTTATGAAGAAGAAGATCAATAAAGCTTGTGTTCAAGAAACCAAATGGGTAGGAACCAAGGCCAGGGATGTAGATGGATTTAAGTTATGGTACTCAAGAAGATCGAGGAGTAGAAATAGAGTACGCTTTTAGTAGACAAGGAACTCAAGGAGCAAGCGGTAGAAATTAGGAGGGTGAATGATAAGTTAATGTTCATTAAGCTAGTTTTGGGAGGGCAAAGTATTAACGTAACGAGTGCATATGTGCAGCAAACGGATTTGGACGAGGAGGTCAAAAAAAACTTTTTTGTTCTGGGAGGGATAAGATGAGGTTGTGAGAGTTATCCTGCGTGCTGAGAAACTAATTTTATGAGGGGATTTTAGAAGTCACTTAGGGACCACTTCAAGAGGATATGATGATGTAAAAGGCACTTTCGGCTTTAGGGATAGAAATGGAGGAGTTTTCTTTTAAACTTCGCGAAAGCTATCGAGATGATTTTTATAGCTGATTCCAGTTTCTAGAAGAGGGAGGACCTTTTGTAGTGTGGTGGCTAAGACTCGGATAGATTGTTTTCTCCTTAGAAAATGTGATAGAGGTTTAAGCAATGACTGGATCAGGAGAGGGGAACTTACGGCCCAACGTAAGCTCGTGGTTATGGCAAAGTTCAACTTTCTTGTATGGTTCCTTAACATGGTGATGAAAATGTGAGTAAAGAAACAGTTGAAATATCCTTAAAGTCAATGCATGTTTCACACAAGGATATTTCCTCTTTTTTTTAATATTTTTTTTTTGATAAGATAAGTGGTATTAATAACAGCATCAAGAAGATGCAAAATTTACAAGATATGGCATTTGAGCTTACAAAAAAATCTCTGGCTAACTATACAAACTATCTAAACCAGAGCTAATGAGTTAGTAAAATCCTGAAGTTGTTCTGCATTAACAGCATGATACAAGTTGGTCCAACTAAACAAATTTTCAGTGCACCTAGTCTTCAAAATGCCTAAAGCAGTTGACTCTCCATCAAAACATCTCTTGTTCCTCTCTAACCAAATACACCAAAAAATACAAGCAGGTATCATAATCCAGATCTTCTTGATGGCTTTGTTCAACTTTCCATAGACTCCAACTCTCATATGCATCCTTAACAGTGAGCGGTGTGGTCCAATTGATGCCAGAGTGACCCAAAAACATGCTCCATAATTCTGAGGCCACCTCACAATGAAGAAGAAGGTGTCTAGGGGTTTCAGCCTCTTTTTTGCACATATAGCATCTGTTTGGGAATTGGATTTTAATATTATACATACTCTAGTTTCATGACACTTTCGTTCTCGTGCAATACATTCTATACCTTTTTTATAGAAAATTATTGTCAATAATCATCTTGCTTTAGTTTCTGACCTGTAAGAATTTTATTCATATTTATCCCAGTTTAAACACTAATTAAGTTTGAACTCAAACAGAAACCCCCCATTGGAGACCTGGGCCACCTGAAAAACCAGTGCTCTGCAATGCTTGTGGAACAAGGTGGCGCGTTAGGGGGACACTACATAACTATATTCCCAGACATGCAAACAGAGAAACACAGAGCTATCAGTTACCTTCTGAGATGAAACCGCGTCTCTAAGCTCGTGATGACCAAAAGCTAGAAGTTGGAGTAGAGGTTTATGGACAGGAGGGATCTTCAGCTTGTCTTGAAGAGCAAATGAATAACATACCAAGCTCAGTCAACTGCATGAAGATGGAAAAAACAAATGGTAAAATATTTCACATATATAGAGAGCTCTTAACTTGTCTCAGCAAATATGATGCATGTTTTGAATCAAATCCTTTCTTAAGCGTACGAGTATTAAGAAAGTGGAAACTAATATCTTCCTACTCAATTTTTGGACAATTTCTTTCTTCCCCTGTCCAAGTGGTTGTTATATGTTGGTATCTAATATTCAAAAGAATCATTTACACCACGAGCTCTAAGACAACTTGATAAGCTTGTATCAAGATTCACGACACATTAATTTATTTTTACGCAGGAAATTCCTTTCGTTTTCCGATTACTGTGATGTGCTTGTCAAATTATGTATTAATATCTTATTGTTTTATGTGCACTAACATTTACCTTTTGTTGGGAGAAGCAGACAAAGATCCTATCTGGAATCCTAACAGAGTCCCAAAAAGAAAGAGATCAGAGCTTACACAACGCATTTTGTCACCTGTCGAAAGACTCCAAAGGCAATTTTATAATATTCTACAAGAACCAGAATTTGAAAACATACCAGACAGTGGTGAAGATGCTACTCTCATTTATGCAAGGAACAAATACATTCCTCCTAATGAGATTGGTCTTGGAGGTATGCTGCTCGTATCACCAACTACTACTACAGAACGCTCAACGTCTCTATCTCCAATGGCAGAAGATAATGCCTGTTGCTCAATGAATGTTCCTGTAGAAAATCCAAATCTCTAAGTGAATTTTGAGGTGCATGCATAAGATTCAATAGGGCATCCCAGTGCACTATAACTCCCGCTATGTGCGGGGGTCCTGGGAAGGCTCCGTTTTATTGGATGGAATTTCCATGAATTAGATATGTCAAATTATACTTTTTAGGTGCATTTAATACGTTAATTCCGATGTCTACCACCGTGTGCTTACCTATAAGTTTGTTAGTTTTTTTGGACCTCGTGGTAAATTAGATGCGTGAGTCAAAGGGCATTTGACTTACATATGCTTGTCATTACAACTTCAATGTCTTGCATTATACTTTGTGTCAGAAAAAACAATAATATAATGGATCATGTGGCTATGCAAAATGAAACAATAATGTACTAGTGCAAGCGGAAATGGATGTAAAAAAACATTATTGGAAAGAAATTGAATGTAGTCATTCTTTTCTAGATCTGCGCAGACTCCTCACTTTTGATGCTGCACCCATGTCGGATTCTCCAAAAATAAACTACTATTGGCAAATTCGACACGCACCCATTGACATTTTTGAAGAGTCCGAGCAACATAGATTATACGTCCTTATTATTAGACAACTCTTTTATTTGCTCACTCTTAGATCTTTGAATTATCATCTTGAAACTATTTAACACTTCCTTGACTTAAGATTTGTTGCTTAATAAGCCTTGACCACTAGATTGAAGGCCAAAAATTATGAAGATTCACCAAATCCAGCTTTCACCCCACCCAGACCAAGCATCAAATCCCCACCCCCTTTTCATTTGATAGAGAATCTAAGACTTCTCTCATTGGAGTTAATGGTGTAAATAGTTCACAAATTACTGCAATCAAAGTTGATGAGCTGTCATAAGGGGAAAAAGAATAATTCAGAATAGATAAAAGTTAATGAAAAATCTATCATAATTAATATATTTCCATATAAGGGACCAGCTATAGTCTACCAAATTCTTATCTGTCTATATATATGTTGACCCGTCACCTCACTCAGGCATTTTAGATTTTGAGAGCAAATCGAACTCTAAAAGTTAGCAGCAGCAAATTCAACCTGATTTGAACTGAATAATTCATTATCAGATCTTATGGGTAGACAAGGTCCATGTCTCCATTGTGGCATCAAGCGTAAGTTCTATCCACCTCTGCCTCAAGTGTTACGTCATTGAAGTTACACGCGTAATACTTTATTTTAGTTTTGCTTAACCTGGAAACTTTATTCTCTGAGATCTGTTTCAAAACTTATAATTTTTCGTTAACTCCACCCTGTGTCTCGTTATTCTATACTATTTCTTCTGTAAATGGCACAAACCACAATCCCATCCATTGAATATATCGTGTCAATTCATCCATCACTAAGGCAAAAAGAAACAGGCTAAGGGTCGATCCCTAGTGCAACCCCATAATGACCGAAAAGTGTTCCAAAAATCCTCCCAATAATATTATGTGGTGGCACCCATGCAATAAAAAGGCTAAATGGAGCACTTGGGTAAATGTTTAGTTATTAACATAGAGGACTTGGAATCACTTCCTACTCAATACATTTTTTCCTTCTTGTTTTTATTGTTGCTTGCTTGTAAACTGATTTCCTTCATCTGATATTGTGTTAGTGAATTTATTGCTGCACCCTTACAAATACTACTGCATTTTTTGGTTCCCACTTTGAACAATATCTTTTCTATAGCTTAGTACTTTTATTTTTTTTCGTCATTGTATTGTGTGACTGTCAATGTTAAGATTTAGGGTATTTGTCGTTATGGGTTGCCCATTTTTTGTTGTTTATTGCACACTTGATTAATCTACAACTGGCATTAGTGGCATCAAGGTGTGATGTACTTTATGGTCATGTACTTAATTGGCAGCGGGAGGCGGGGGGGCAGGGGTGGTAAGGGTACCAAAGGAGATCCTAAGTTTAGAGTTGGGTCTTGAAACATAGGGACATTGACGAGGAAGTCGATAGAGTAGTTTTTTTTTTTGATAAGATAAGTGGTATTAATAACAGCATCAAGAAGATGCAAAATTTACAAGATATGGCATTTGAGCTTACAAAAAAATCTCTGGCTAACTATACAAACTATCTAAGCCAGAGCTAATGAGTAGTTAAGATTCTTATGAAGAGGAAGATCAATATAGCTTGTGTTCAAGTCACCAAAAGGGTTGGAATCAAGGCGAGGGTTGTAGATGGATTTAAGTTATGGTATTCAAGAAGATCGAGGAGTAGAAATAGAGTAGGCATTTAGTAGAGAAGGAACTCAAGGAGCAAGCGGTAGAGATTAAGAGGGTGAATGATAAGTTAATGTTCATTAAGCTAGCTTTGGGAGGGCTAACTATTAAATTAATTAGTGCATAAGTGCAGCAAACGGGATTGGACAAGGAGGTCAAAAAAACCTTCTTTGTTCTGGGAGGAGTTGGATGAGGTCGTGAGAGTTATCCCGGGTACTGAGAAACCAATTTTATGAGGGGATTTTAATAGTCACATAGGGACCACTTCGAGAGGATATGATGTACAAGGCACTTTCAGCTTTGGGGATAGAAATGGAGGAGTTTTACATTTATACTTCGCAAAGCTATCGAGTTGATCATAGCTAATTCCAGTTTCTAGAAGAGGGAGGAGCACTTGGTGACCTTTTGTAGTGTGGTGGCTCAGATTCAGATAGATTCGTTGTTCCTTAGAAAATGTGATAGTGGTTTATGAAATGACTGGATCAAGAGAGGGGATTACAACCCAACACTTGGGAAATTGGGAAGAAGTTAGTGGTTATGAGGATTTCAGAGAGTAGTGAGGACACACATAGTGTATGGGCTAGGACAACAAACTACATCAGAGAAGCAACAATAGAGGTGTAGGGGGTCTCGAAGGGTTATCCAGAGAGGCTCAAAAGGGATTGGTGGTGGAATGAAGATGTCCAAAGAACAATTAAAACCAAGAAGGTTGCTTACAAGACGTTAGTTAAAGCTTAGACGAGGAGGAATAATAGAGGTTTAAGACGACGAAGAAGAAAAGCGAACTAGTGGGGACCCAATTAATATGTGGGCTAAAACAATTGACTGCATCAAGAAAGCAACAATAGAAGAGGTAGGGATCTTGAGGGGTTACCCAGGTGGAGTAGTCTAGGGATAACAAGAAAGACTGACACATGGTTTTCTGGGGGAAATCGTTCGTGGTCTCCGGTGGTCAGGGCAGTGGAGTGCAGATCCACCGCTGAGGGGGGTTTACTATTGAGCGCAAGAAAAAGAGATAGTCCCTGTTTAATATTATCCCGTAATTACTGTCGGTTTAGATGGTAACATTGCTCCTTAAAATTGCAAGCAAAAATATGCAGTATGTCGAGAGATTAACTATTTCGCATGGTTCCTCAACATATCAAGCAAATCTTTTTCAATCTTTCTACCATCAAGCTCAAAGTTCAACTTTCTTGTATGGTTCCTTAACATGGTGATGAAAATGTGAGTAAAGATACAGTTGAAGCATTCTAAAAGTCTATGCATGTTTCACACAAGGAAATTTCCCCTTATTTCTAATATTATAAATACTCTAGTTTCATGACACTTCCATTCTCGTGCAATACATTCAATACCTGTTTACAGTAGATTTTCATTGTCAATGATCATTCAATACTCAATATTTATCCCAGTTTAAACACTAATTAATTTGGAACTCAAACAGAAACCCGCCATTGGAGACCTGGGCCACCTGAAAAATCAGTGCTCTGCAATGCATGTGGATCAAGGTGGCGCAGGGGGACACTACATAACTATATTCCCAGACATGCAAACAGAGAAACACAGAGCTATCAGTTACCTTCTGAGACGACGACGCGTCTCTTAGCTCATGATGACCAAAGGCTAGAAGTTGCAGAAGTGGTTTCTGGACCGGAGGGATCTTCAGTTTGTCTTGGAGAGGAACTTAATAACATACCAAGCTTAGTTTCAGCAGGATCATCCTCGGTCATCTGCATGCAGATGGAAGAAACAAATGGTAAAATACTTTCACATATATAGTGAGCACTTAACTTGTCTCAGCAAATATGATACATGTTCTGAATCAAATCCTTTCTTAAGTGTATAGGTTATAGAAAAATGGAAAACTAATATCTTCCTACGCAATTTCTGGCCAATTTCTTTTTTCTGTTTTGCATGATAGTAAGCGCAAAACTCTTAGGGCACGTTTGGTTGGGGAACGAGTTATCCCGGATTGTTATCCCACCCTCAATGTGGGATAAAAATAACACTAAAATCCCGGTATAGCTAATTCCGGGATAAGTTATACCATGATTTTATCCCAACTAAACATGGGATAAGCTCATCCTAAAATTAACCCCAAGATTAGTTATCCCATATTCCTAGTACCAAACGAGACCTTAGTCAAATAAAATTATGAAATGGGTGAAATTAGGCAACCAAATCATTGTAGATGCACCTTCCTAAAAAGTAATCCTGCAGTGCATATTATTCTGATTCAAAAGATTCCAACTACAAACTTCTCTTATTCTATTGATTAGAAATGGAAAAATTTGAATCACCCCCACCCCCAAAAAAAAGGAGCAGAAAACAGGGGAAGAATCTACAGATCCCACAAAACAAATTTAACAGTGAGACAGAAAATTTTATCAGCATTCTCCCACTTTCCAAGTGGTTGTTTTATGTCGGTAACTAATACTCAAAAGAATCACGACACTTGGATTTATTTTTACGCAGGAAATTCTTGCCGTTTTCCGATTACTGTGATGTGCATTTCAAATTATGTAATGTCAAATCACATTCAAGATTTTACCAAATAAGCCGTAGGGATGTAATTACTATATGATACTCTACAAGCACAATCTTTGGTTTCTTTCTTGCTCGTAGGCCATTAATTATAGTGTCTCCCCTAAATTTTGAGAACTAACTTCCCTTTATACAATAAACTTAAATTGATAAATTTCTGGTAATTTGGATTTTCAATAAAGATATGAACTGAGCAGTCCAACTATACCTTAATCATACAAAATATACTAGCTTGACCAAAATAAAAATAAAAACTATTGTATTAGTACCTCATTGTTTTATGTGCACTAACATTTACCTTTTGTTGGGAGAAGCAGATAAGGATCCTTTCTGGAATCCTAACAGTGTCCCAAAAAGAAAGAGATCAAAGCTTACACAATGCATTTTGTCACGTGTCTAAAGACTCCAGAGGCAACTTTATAACATTCTACAGGAATCAGAATTTGAAAATATACGAAACGGTGGTGAAGATGTTACTCTAATTTATGCAAGGAACAAATACATTCCTCCTAATGAGATAGGTCTTGGAGCTATGCTGCTCGTATCACCAACTACTACTTCAGAATGCTCGTCGTCTCTACCTCCAATAGCAGAAGATAATGCCTCTTGCTCAAAGAAAGTTCCTGTAAAAAATCCATATCAATAAGTGAATTTTGAGATGCATGCATAAGATTCAATAGGGAAGCTCGGTGCACTAAGCTCCCGCTATGTGCAGGGTCCGGGGATGGTTCCGTTTTATTGGATGGAATTTCCATGAATTATATATGTCAAATTCTACTTTTTAGGTGCATTTAATATGTCAATTCCGATGTTTATCACTGTGTGCTTACCTACAAGTTTGTTAGTTTTTCTGGACCTCATTGTAGAATACATTGTGACATCTCAAAGGGCATTTGACTTACATATGCTTGTCATTACAACTATAATGTCTTGCATTATGCTTTGTTTTAGGATAAACAATAATATACTGGATCATGTGGCTATGCAAAATGAAACTACTGGAAATGAGGGTGGAAAGAAAAATGGATCAATCCTCGCATACAGATTCCCATCAAACATATCTCTGAATGTCTCCCATAGTTCTTGACATTATTAGTGGACATTTTGAGGGATAAGATCTCCACCCGAAACAACATGGACATGTCCAGTTGTCTCTTGCTTGGGCGTTTGCAATTTTCTAATTTCTTTCCTTCCAAACGCAAAGTTAGTTGCTCTCTCTGTAGCACTTCCTATTATTGCCTAAACATTCTTACTCTTTGTTTTTCCAATGATACAATCTGTTAACCATGCAACAAACTGAGTTTGTATATGTAGAACATGTGATCTTCTGTTTCGTACCATATTAGAATTATGTTTTCCCATCTAGTTCATGGGTTTGCTCATATTCTTCTAGAAATTTTCTGGAATATTCGAAACAAAGTTTGGAATATCTGAAATAAATTAGTCATTTTTCTCTCCAAATTCAAAAGCCACACTTGCCTGCTACTCTGGGAAGCAAAATGATACTTAGGTTAGCTGTGGAATGGCGGAAAAGATTCTTGGAAATTCTACTCATTTGTTCCCACGAATATCTCAACTCCTACTCTATTCACTAATTGTTATCTATCTTTAATATTCAATATATCAGTAAACGCCATACTCGTAAAACCTTCACATTTCAACTGCTATCAAGTGTGAGTAAAACAACACAAATAATATTTAGACCAGTTTTCCCAAAATAACAATCCAATAAAAAGATTACTCCTTTTAAAACCCTTTTTTTAACCAAGAAAGCAGCAAATTATTGTTACCCCAAATAGGTTTTATTCACAACCTAATAGCTGCATCCTCAAATAAAGAACTAAGCATACTCCAAACCATCAAATAAACACTGACCAAAATACTACTATCAAAAGATAATTGCAGTGACATTCTTGCTAGGATTGGAAATTTCTATTTGACATATTTATATGGGGGAGTTCTTGGGTTCTCCTAAATTGTCTAAAAACAAAATTCTTGCATACTGAATATTGAATAAAGTACCGATTAGAAAGAAAAGGGGAAGAAAATTATTTGAATATTGAATCTTTGATAAATTTTCAATTAGTTGCAATAACAATTTCAGTATGTCAACGTAATGGCATTACATTACAAAAAAAAACGAGGAGGAGAAGGAAGAGAGTTACGGCAAGAGGGCTCCTCATCGCCTTTAGCTCCAAAAAGCCATGAAAATAGACGTTGGGCTACTCATCTTCCTCAAATCCCTCTAATGGAAACATGTATATAGTGAAGGCTTTAAAATCACGCATGTGCTAATATTACTACACTTATTTATTTTTTTCACTATCCCAATATTTAATTAGTTATAGTATGGTTTAATTCTTTATTTGTTACGATTTTGAGCTTATGTTGTAGTAATAATTAATACATCATATTTAGTATTATAGGATGTATAACTAACACATATAACATTATTAGTACACTCTATTCTATATTTATTCTTATACAATTTTTCGAACCACCCTTGTTTTTTGTTTAGAAATTATACGGTACATTTCATGCAGATAAGTAATTTTACCACGATAAAGTTTGAATAAATTATTCGATTTAAAGGGTAAGTATTTCTAGATAAAACTATGGATCATATTTTAAAAAACGAGTTCCCATCTGGATTCTCCATTGAATTCTGATTGATTTTATGACATCAATTATTTTCATCAGAGATTCTTCTTCCGTTTATTCAAAGAAAAAATAAAAAATAAAAAACAAAAAAATAGAGGTTGATGAGTGAAGAAGGACAGGACGAGGAGAAAATATGCAATAAAAAGATTAAATGAAGAAAAATAATTGAAAATGACAAAGGAGTAGACAGCTTTACATATTAAAGGAATTAGTGGGAAAAAAAAACAAATTTAAAAGGTTAATGAATCTGCTCATACAGTTGTTACATATGATAAGGTGGATGAAATTTTATAGGCCAATTTATGGGAGTCAAAATTACAAATAGTGGGGGGTTTAGAACCCCCACAATTTGCTGTTACCGGGGTTTTAGAAACCCCGCTGTTAGGGCTGTCGCTATTACTTTGTGGCAGTTTTAAAGCAATCGCGCAGCATTTGCGACAAACAAATAGCGGGGGCTTAACGTCCGTATTTCATTTTGTGGGGGGTTTATAACCTCAGCTATTAAATTTAAGTACTTCATTTTGTTGGGGTTATAACCTTCGCAATACTTTTGATGAAATAAGAACATTCAATTTCTCATAGTTTATATAAAATTAATCTACAACTAATTTTCATGCTAATTTTGTAGTAATTACCAATACATTCATAATTAAATTAATAAAATATTCCAGAATTAAAAATACAAAGATTTAAGCAAATCATGAAGAAGTTAACATAAATTAATACCAAATGTCATCAAATTTACAATACTCTCGATAAATAAAAAAGAACATAAAAACAAAAACAAAAACAAAAAATGATACGTTGTCTTGATGTACACAATGCCTGACTCAACTCACAACTTGACTCAGGTGACAACACGTATCAAAACAATCAGAGCTACGACCTTCTGCCACCGCCAACCTTACCGAGTCAGTCAAGTCTACTCCACCATCTTCGCTAGAAATATTAAGTACAAATACCTCTGCATAGTAACAATGATCACATGGTGTATTCTACTTGACGCAAAATTTACAAAACAAATGCATAATATATTAGGCTCTAAATATGCGAAAGTATACCAAGGACTAAATACTTTGGCGATCACACATAGAATCCCGCAACAGGATCACACAACAATGTTTAAAGTGCTCAACAGGAAAAATTGATTTCACCACCAACTCCGGCCTCATCACTCTCATTGACGCCACTCCAACACCACTCTTCATTTTTCCATAAGCTGTCCCCATACCTATGAATTATTCAAAACAAAAATCAAATTTGTGATCAGTTGCAAATAAGCATAAGATGAGCTCGGGTGATTCACATAAGATGTGCGTATGTCTCCAGCAAAGACAGACCACATATTTTTTTTTTGAAAATGGTAACGATGTATTATCTCACAAAAGTACATGGGTTGTACTCAAACCTTATATACAGATGCACTCTAGACACTCCTACTCTATTTCTATATTGAGTCTAAAACATCAACTATAGAGGCAAGACAGACCACATATTTAAAGCTTATAGATGCAAAATCTCATCGTCTTTGATGGTCATAACTCATCACAGGTAGAATTACTAGTTATAAAAAAGCAACACTAGCAAATTAGCATACGAAGAACTCCAAGACATTGATATTTAGCCGGAGCCCTGGAATCATACCAAGCATATTTGGGAAACTCCAATTCAGCGAGAAACCATAAACAAAGATTTTCAAATTCGACAGAGAAGATCTAAAACAACAATGAAAATAATACAGTGAAGAGGCATGTCACATACTTTAGCTGATCGTTCCTGGTAGATTAAAGGAGTTAACATCTTTTGAAACACTTACTGCATATTTCCATATAGTTGTTCCAAGCTTGAAATTTTCTGCATACTTCTCCGTGTTGTAGAGACTAGTCAGTTGCTTCGCAACTGTACAACAAGAATATATTAGATTGTCTAACAATTAAAAGAAGGGGAAAGAAGAGTCAAGTTATTGTCTTAATGTAGCTTTTAAATTGACAATTGAAGGAAAAACTAATTTCGCTAAGCTGAAAATTACCTATGTTCATAAGTAACAAGGCTTTCTGTATGCATTGGTCACTGTGGAAAAGAACAATCTAGCTGTTGATTGATTACTTCTTCGATTTCAAAAAAGAGGAGGGTAAAGTAAAAATATATGGGAAAGGAAAAACACAAAAAATTGGAGAAGTTACAGTAGTAAATGGCTCAAAATCCATTTCCAAAATGTTCCCACTGATAATATAAATGAGACAAACATTAAGAATCAAACAAAAAATAACCTCATTCATACAACAAAAATTTGTCGAGTACTATTATCTTCAAATTCATGACTCAAACTACCTTTGACGAGCACGAGCCACTGCGAATGAAACACTAGCACAAACGAGTTACAAACTGAAACAAGCACAAAAGTGGTCCAAGTTACAAGCAGAAACATGATTCTCAGTACAAAAAACATATTACGAGAGAGGAATAGATGAGGAACCTGCGAATCGAAATCACAAAACCTCCAAAAGCTAAATTTTCCAGGTTACATTGTACTATAGCGTCGAATCTATTGCATCAGATAACAGGACATATGTAATTCCTCTACACATCTTGTTTATATCTACATTTATTGGACAAGAACGAGACAAGCTTTTTACAAATGTGCGGTTTAAGGTACAAATGTTACACAAAAAATAAGGGAGCAGGGGAAATACAGAGTATTCCTAGTAGTTCATACAACTGGTTAACTGCTCTTCTAACTGTACTTGTTAAAGTTTGCTCTTTGTTGAGTAAATATTATTGTTTCATAAAAAATTTAAGGTTTAGAAGGTACTTTCGTAAACGAACATATTTTTCTAGAAGCTATGCAATGCATTTTATTTTATTTTGAAACTTAGCTATGCAATGCATTTTTTTAATACACTAAATCAAACAATGCATAAGAAATAATCTCAACATAACTAATACAAGCATTATTTATACACTCTACCAAACGACGACATGATGAGGAAACACTATTCTAGTGTTCAGAAACTAACTGGCTTAGTCCATGGGTATTACAAATATCAACATAAGAATTTGTCAAGGAAAGACCCAAAATCACAGTTCCACAAACTTTTGGGACATAGAGTTCACTAAAGGAAATCACAAAGCAACATAAAAGTGTTGACAATTCATAACGATGGAGTTAGCTAAGAATGCAGTTAAATCCCATGACATACAAACGCAACATAACAGATCTAGTCATAGAAAACTCAAGACATGATCTCAGATTTACAGCAAAAATGAACATTAGGTCAGCTTATATCAAGAAAAATACAGATTATGTAGACATTAGAAGAAACACAAAGTAGTACAAGTCTGCGAAATTCTAATTCCAATACAGGTGCCATAACGCTCATTGGAACAGGATAGCCACATCCAAGTAATCTTCTATCTGAAGTGGCAAGAAACAAGTCAATACCAAATGCCGAGAAGAAGGATGAGGTCAATGATCTCATATGAACAGAGTGTTACCTGAAATTTAAGTTCACTCAATGTTTTGCTGCCATTATCTGGTCGCCTCACCTTCATATCACAGAGAATAAACACTATAAGATCACTGTTTGCTTGAGAAAATCACGAACATATCAGAGTTTTACATGAAATTTAAGTTCACTCACGAACCAAATTTTCAACAAAATTGACACTACGAAGTGGAAAGCTATGGACGGATACTTAGAGAGATGTTCCAAGTAACCTTGAGGTAGGTATACTTAGCTTCTTTGGCAGAGAAATTAACGGTCCAGCAAACGCATGCCATAGCTCCATACACATCAATGCCACCATTAATGGAGTTAACGATGTAAAATCCGAGCTTTCAAACGCCGATGCCGACGAGGATTCCAATTGACACAGATGCCATTGTTTCTTCTCCATTACATTGCTATCCACAGAAACCCTAAGATGTTAATTGGAGAGAAATTGGAGAAAAGATGAGAAGGTTTAGACAAGGTACAATAGCCTTGGGGAAAATGGCAAGAAAGCTAGTCAAACTCTATAGAACTTGCCTTTAAGTTTTGGTGGCACCTTCTCATAATCAAATAAGACTTCAAAAGCGAACCTCTATTTCATCAACTTTGCAACAATACGATGTGTGATATCATTACCGTATCTTTAGATAATAGACCAAGATACTTGGTACTTCCTCTCTTTTGCATGTCCTGGTATCAAGCCTCACTTCCACGTGAATCTCATGGTTACGTCAGTAAACTTGCACTCAAAGTATTATGTCTTCATCATGCTCAACCTGAACCCTTTAAACTCTGCAGTTTGTCTCCAAACCTATAGCTCAACGTTAACTCCTACGCGAGTCTCGTCAATTAGAATTATGTCATCCACAAATAACATACATCATGGCACCTCACCTTAGTACCATGTCAATTCATCAATCACCAAAGCAAATAAAAACAAGCTAAGAGTTAATCCCTCGTGCAACCCCATCACAATTGAGAAGTTCTCTCAGTCTCCACTCTATGTCCTTATCCTGATCTTAGTTCCAACATAAATATCCTTGATCATACAACACGGGTAAGCTTCTAGCCTACAAGCATCTCCATAAGACCTCTTTTGGGACTTTGTCGTAAGCATTTTCTAGGTAAATGAACACCAAGTGCAAGTCCTCTTCGCTCACTATACAGCTCCACCAATCTCCTTAAAAGATGACTGACTTTTGTAGTCGAGCCCCCTAACATGAATCTATATTGATTCTCGAATATAAACATACCCCTCCTAATCATCATCTTTACCACCCTCACCCAAACTTTCATAATGTAGCTTAGGAGCTTGATACCCCTATAGTTGTTGCGATTAAGAAATGTCACCTTTATTCTTGTACAAATGGGTCATTGTACTCCACATCCATTCTTTTGCCTTTTTCACGGTCTTAAAAACAATATTAAACAACCCAGCCAATGACTCCATACATGTCCTACCGACCATCTTCCAAAATTCCATCGGAAGCTCATCCGGACCGTTCGCTCTTCCCTGTGAATCCTACGAATAGCACCCTTAACCTTTTCAACCTTTATACACCTACAATACCCAAAATCGTGAAACCTCTCGGAGTGCACTATATCTCCCACCAGAATGTCCTCCGATTCATTCAAGAGTATATAAGAAGTATGACTATCAACTTCATCTAATAAGTGTTTCCTAAACCAATACTTCATCGACCTCGTCCTTGATGCACGTCACGTGCCCTCCTCTTCATCGCCTTGGCTAGCTTGTACAATTTCTTCCCTGTTTTTTCCCCTAATTCTACATACAAGCGTTCAAAAGTTATAGTGATATTCTATATATTATGTAATATGCATGTGTAATACATTTTTTTTATGACAAGGAAAACTCGCAACTAGGGGTGTGTATCGGTCGGTTCGGTTCGGTTCGGTTATAAGTATTATCGGTTCGGTTTATCGGTTTTCGGTTTTAAATATGCTAAACCGATAACCAAACCAATAAGATATTTGTTATCGGTTTTCGGTTTAACCAATAAGAAAATGCTTTCAAAACAAATATATGACTTATCCAATAATTTGATGCGATATGCATACATCGAAATAATCATTCCAAACAGGACAACAAGGACCAACTTGTTGTATTTTGGTCATCACAACAAAGACTTGGTTAATTTTCGATCACCATAATATATAAAACGAGGTCCCCTTTATGCAATAAAGAGAATCAAATAAAACCAAATCATAGACAAAAGTCAAAACAGTAGCAAATAAGGTCATGCTTATGGTAACTAAATAAAGTTCTTACGTTATTTTTATAAAAAAAAACACACAATTTGAATTCCTGACGTTAATCAAATTGCAGATATTTACAATCGTGCAAAAGCTAATATTAGTCAATTATAAACTAACTAAAGTAAATAAGTAATACTAAAAAGTAAAACCTAAAGGTTAAATAACTAAAAGTAGAGAGGAGAGTTAATTGTTAAGTAGTTTTAATTATTGCGTAGGGTATTTTTTTTAATATATTATATATATGTATAACTAAAATTAAAATAGTAAATTATTATATTCTTAATGGGTTATCGGTTAACCCAATAACCCAATATTAAAACCAATAACGAACCGATAACCCAATAATTTTTTTTTGTAAAACCATTAAATAACCGTTATCCCAATAACCCAATAACAATAAACCAATAACACTTTTTCGGTTCGGTTTATCGGTCGGTTCGGTTTTTGCACACCCCTACTCGCAGCCGCAACCCTTTGGGTGCGCGCAGGGTAAAAACCTTCGCTTCTATGCATGTGTATACATTAGTAATCTTAAATAGGAAATAAATATTTTTACATCACTAAGCATGATGAGATGATCTTTAATGAAGCAAGATAACGAATATTCATAGAGTCGCCCCAACTTGCTTGAAGTGAGGCATAAATAGTGGTTGTTATTTGGAAGTCAGTGAGCATGACATAAAGAAAACACCATATGGCTAGGATACACGAAATTTTGTCAATGGGGACATAAATGCGCAAGCATAGTAAGATGGAAAAAGCATGACAAAGAAAAATCCATGTGATACACGAAATTCTGTCAATGGCGCCATATAAATGAACAAGCATGGTAAAACTTAAAAAGCATGAAATAAAGAACAATCCATATGGTAGATACACAATATTCTGTCAATGGTGACACATAAATGTGCAAGCATGGTAAGATGGAAAAAATAAGTATGTCATTGCTGCATCTTAGTAGCAGGAAACTCTCACTTAAAAAAGAAAACATTCATAACCGAGTCGATTAAACAATAAAACGGTTGCTAAGACAATAATAGGATATCTGCATTTCAAGAACAAGGAAATCTTGTTAAGATGAGTCAGTATCATCTTACCAAAAAATTGTGAATCGAGTTTTTAGGACTAATTTTGAGATAGAAACCTCTTAAATTGACATTAAAACTGCCAAGAGAAACATTCATGATTTGGCAACTCACTAAGGTGTGCTCAAACAGACTATTGGGAAGTTTTTGGAAATTGATTTTCATTTCAATTCTTTCTGGAAAAGAAGGTTATGAAACAGTAAATTCATTTACGAGAAGAGGGTCAAATTGATAATATTTAGAATTTGGGGACTAATGTAGAAGTTGGTTCAATTTTGGTTTGAGTAAAAGAAAACCGACAATTTTTTATTTTTTTTTGTTTTGTTTTCTTTTAAAAATGTTTGTTTGTTCTTCAAGAAAACAATTTTGTCCTGATAATCAAACAACCGTGGTATGTTCTTTTTAAAATCCTTTTTTACTAGGGCAACATTGCCTTAAGATGCTTGAGCTTTTCCAAACCGCACAGTACAGTGGCTTTCGGGTGCACCAGAATATCAGAAATCAAGGAGCCAAAGTCTTAAAGAATATTTCCAAGGAAATAGCCAGCTCTATGTTCATACTGTAGCTTCTTAATTTAATTCACAAGTTGAGGCATAATTACCAAATAAGAAATTTATCCAATTATCGAGCCACCTGTATGGACTTCAACTCTCACCTGCAGAGTAGTAATGAGACCCTCATATATTTAGGCAAAATGGTCTATTTGATTATTGTACTAATGCAAGGGGAAATGGATGTAAAAAAGCATTATTGGAAATAAATTGAATGTAGTAGTTCTTTTCTGGATGTAAAAAAGCATTATTGGAAAGAAATTGAACTTAATGACAAATCTATCATAATTCATCTATTTCCATAAAAGGACCAGTTATAGTCTACCAAATTCTTATCTGTCTATATATACTGTGACCCATCACCTCACTCAGACATTTTAGATTTTGAGAGCAAATCGAACTCTAACGGTTAGCAGCAGCAAATTCAACCTGATTTGAACTGAATCATTCATAATCAGATCTTATGGGTAGACAAGGTCCATGTCTCCAT